AAATGTCTTCAAAATAGTGTAAGATGTGTGCTTGTGCAAACAAAGCCATTGCTATGACTCAAGCACTCTGTAATTTCTGCCATTAAGAGGAATAGGGAGATTGCTGACACTTTCTAGTTTTGTCATTTTGGAAGCACGTGCTCAGAAGCAACCACAATTTTGAGAACACATGTTCAGTCCAGGCAGCATGGTTTCTGGTAAGGTGATGAGCATGAGGCAATAAGACTCTACATTTGTACCAGTTTAACCTGTATTTGTTGAATCAATATGTTCTATCATGTAGATGTCATTTAACAAAGGAAAGTTGGTGTTGGGTCAAAACTATGACATCTAATTTGATGGTGTCTTAATTAGTATTTAGAAGAGGTGGTTTAGGTGCACTTTGTTTCTAATACAGTTTAAGACCTTAAATTGCTTTATACAACTTCCGAAATTACAATTGCCAACTTTAAAGCTGCTTTTCAAGGAAATTCCAAAGTCTTCCATATAATAGTGATTGCAGACCTTTTCATCTGGTAAGTAGGCTCCTTAGAAAAGAAGCACAACAAACAAATATAATAATTTATTTTTGAAATGTTAAATAATGAACTATGAATTAAATAAAAATGATGGTTTGAAAGATAACTAATTGATCGCTAGTGTTCCAAGGCAACAAGTGGAGTTCCATATGAAATTTCCTTCATTGTAGCTATGCCAGTTAGGGATTGGGTTAAATATGCCCCAGAGTGCTGCATGCTAATAAAAAACAGATAAATTTAGAAAATAGCATTAATTTTGCCACCTTAAGACTCCATCACCTCTGTTGGGATTTGTTGTGGTATCTTTGCTAGTACGGTGCTCTTTGCAAAGCTTTGCAAGTCAGAAGTGTGGTCTACGGCCATTGTGGACAAATGGCTTCTAACAGTCCAGTATCCACCAGAAGATTTTGTAATAAATTTCATTTCTTTTCCTCTGTTCTTTCTTTGCTTTTGATTCAGTGTGTCCCTGTGAGATAATAATCTTGAAAGAAGGTCATGGTGATTTTACCCTTCTATCTAGCTCTAGCTCCCCAAACATACTTCGCTTCAGTTTTTCTACATATTGTTGTTGAGTAATAATGACACATGGGGAAATGCCTGCAGTGAGCCCAAGAATGAGTGAAACTTCCTTAAAGATGATGGTAAATCTGAGAAGCATTTTATTGAAGTATCAGAAGTAAATCTTTCTCTCATCCTGAGATCTCAAGAGAGAAAGGATTTGGGCACGTGAAGGAGAACTCTGGGTGCCTGAAGGAGAAGCAGCAGTTGTGGGCCCTCACACCAAACCTAGAGCTGCTGTGAGGTTTGATGTCCCCACTGAGTGTGAATTTTTCCCAGTGTCCTAGTTGCTTTTGAGCACATCTTCTCAGAGGGACAAAAAGTTTTGACATCCTCCCTACTCTCCTCGATGGCAGGACTTAGCCGAATGCTACAGGGAGATAATGAGCCCAGCCACAAAAAGTTTATTATAGGAAGATTGTCATGGAGTTTTTGTCCTGTTGGTTTGACGAGAGATGAAATTTTGAAGCGCAGCCTAGAATCTCTCTATTTCCAGCACCTAATAATGAAGATATTCACCACACAAAGAAAATGCCTGAAACAGTTTTGAATGCACATCCTAGCCTCCAGCTGTGTCTGTGCTCCCTGCTTATTTAGGGAATTGTCTTTTGCAGGGTGAGGGAATTGAGTTGGCAGCTATGAAAAAGGCAGGGAATACTGTATCGATGGGTAATAGCGAGGCTGTATGGCTTCCATTAGCGTAACAGATGATGCAAGTAGCCATCAATACTCAAAACAAAATCAACACTGAAAAATTGATCTTGGACTTTGCCAGCTAGTGTCAGTAACTGGAAATCCTAGGGCAAACTTTTTTAGCAGTTCAGAGATTGAAACAATTGTTTGCAAATCATTTACTCAATGCAGACACAGCTGCCTCAGTCTGATGGACTCCAGCACAGTTCCTCAGCCAGGCACTTCCAGTTGCTCCCTGTCGTTCAGTGTCTGATTCATCGTGTCAGATGGGCTTGATTCATTTTGGCCATTGTTTCCCTGCCTGTAAAATGGATGTGATCATAATCTGCTGGTTGTGTTATCTGTCCGCCTCACTTGAGCTGTGGTGGGGGGCCGGTTAATGTCCGTGCTGTGCGCTGCAGCTGAACGGGAAACAATGGAGCCTGCAAGTGCCAGCGACGACGTGCTCCCTGTTGGGTAGTGTTGAGAGAGACACTTTGTGTAAGCCCTTCTCTCAGCCCCCAGGGATTTGTATATAATCACGGTGTCGTGATGGGAGTTGGGTGTCCCTTTCTGTCTTCCTGGCAGGCCTAGCCGTGCCCATGCTGTGGCCTCCTCTCCCAGAGCCGAAGCTCAGGTCCTCGCCCCTCTGCTCCTTCGCCTCTGTGCACCATTTGACCCTTTCCAAGAGCAGGAGCTGCCTGCAGGTAACACGGAGTGCATCAGCGGAAAGGAGCAGACAGGGATTGTGGAGGATTGGCCCCACCGAGAGAGAAGGGGTGATTGGGGCACAGCACCCCCAGTGCCGCTGCCTGCTGCTGCTCTGAGGATGAGGAGGA